GAAACCCTGTCTCTACTAAAAATACAAAAATTAGCTGGGCGTGGTGGCACGTGCCTGTAGTCCCACTGAGAGGTGACAATGTGCTAGCAGCCCTCACTCTAGGCGCCTCCTTGGCCTCGGCATCCACTCTGGCGGCGCTTGAGGAGCCCTTCAGCCCACCACTGCACTGTGGGAGCCCCTCTCTGGGCTGACCGAGGCCGGAGCCGGCTCCCTCTGTTTGCTGGGGAGGTGTGGAGGGAGAGGCGTGGCCGGGAACTGGGGCCGCGCACCGTGCTCACAGGCCAGCGCGAGTTCTGGGGGACGTGGGCTCAGCTGGCCCTGCACTCGGAGCCACCCGCTGACACTGCCGGCCTGGGCAGTGAGGGGTTTAGCACCTGGGCCAGCAGCTGCACTCTGGGTCTGGGTACGCTGGGTCCCCCAGCATTGCCGGCCGGCCAGCGCTGAGCTCGAGTTCTCGCCTGGCCTCAGCTGCCTCCCGGTGGGACAGGGCTCGGGACCTGCAGCCTGCCATGTCCGAGCCCCACCTCTGCGGTGGGCTCCTGCAGGGCCCGAGCCTCCCCAACGGGTGCTGCCCCCTGCTCCGTAGCGCCTGGTCACATCTACCGCCCAAGGGCTGAGGAGTGCAGGCGCTGCTGGCTTCTCGGGACTAGTGGGCATCTCCGCCTACAGCCCTGGTGTGGGCTCCACTAGGTGAAGCCACTTGGGCTCCTGAGTCTAGTGGGGACTTGGAGAACCTTTATGTCTAGCTAAGGGATTGTAAACACACAAATCAGCACGCTGTGTCTAACTCAGGGTTTGTAAATACACCAATCAGTACTCGTCTAGCTCAAGGTTTGTAAATACACCAATTGGTACTCTGTACCTAGCTAACCTAGTGGGGACTTGGAGGACTTTTATGTCTAGCACTCTGTGTCTAGCTCAGGGATTGTAAACGCACCAATCAGCACCCTGTCAAAACGGTTCAGTCAGCGCTCTGTAAAATGGACCAATCAGCAGGATGTGGGTGGGGCCAAATAAGGGAATAAAAGCAGGCTGTCCGAGCCAACCAGCAGCAATCTGCTTGGTTCCCCTTCCACATAGTGGAAGTTTCGTTTTTTTCTGCTCTTTGCGATAAATCTTGCTGCTGCTCAGTCTTTGGGTTCAGGCCGCCTTTATGAGTTCTAACACTCACCGTGAAGGTCTGCAGTTTCACTCCTGAAGCCAGCGAGACCATGAACCCACCAGAAGGAAGAAACTGTGGACACACCATATTTAAGAACTGTAACACCATGAGTGTCCGTGGCTTCATTCTTGAAGTCAGTGAGACCAAGAACCCACCAATTCCTGAAGCCAGCGAGACCAAGAACCCACCAATTCCTGAAGCCAGTGAGACCAAGAACCCACCAATTCCGGACACACCAGCTACTCGGGAGGCTTGAGGCAGGAGAAATTTACTTGAACCTGGGAGGTGAAGGTTGCAGTGAGCCGAGATCGTGTCACTGCACTCCAGCCTAGGTGACAGAGTGAGATGCTGTCTCAAAAAAAAAAAAAAAAAAAAAAAAAAAAGGAAAGAAAGAAAATCAGTTAACCATAAATGAATGGGTTTATGTCTGGACTTTCAATTCCGTTCCTTTGACCTATATGTCTATCCTTATGACAATACCACACAGTTTTGATTATACAACTTTAAGTCTTGAAATTAAGAAGTCTGAGTCCTGCCAAATTTGTCCTTTTTCAAGATTGTTCTGGCTATTCTGGGTCTCTTGCATTTCCATATAATTTTTTTTTTTTTTTTAAACAAGGTCTTGCTCTGTCACCCATGCTGGAGTGCAGTGGCATGATCATAGCTCACTGTAGCATCAAATTCCTGGGCTCAAGGGATCATCCTGTTTCTGCTTCCTGAGTCAGTGGGACTAGAGGTGTGCACCACCATACCTGGCTAATGTTGAGAGAGATATATATATATATATATATATATTTTTTTTTTTGTAGAGACAGGGTCTTGCTTTGTTGTCCAGGTTGGTCTCAAACTCCTGGCCTCTACTGATCCACCTGCCTTAGCCTCCCAAGGTGCAGGGATTATAGGTATGAGCCACCACACCTGGCTCCCCACATGAATTTTAGAAACAGTTTAATGCCTGTCTTCTGGTGATACCCTGTAAAGCAAAGGCAAGTACCTGAATTATCTGTATGCCCTGCTGTGCTTTGTAGGATGTCTAGCCTATGAGTACACCTCAAATATTTTTATTTATTTATTTATTTAGAGATAGACTCTCGCTCTGTCACCAGGCTGGAGTGCAGTGGTGTGCCATGTTGGCTCACTGCAACCTCCGCCTCCCTGGTTCAAGAGATTCTCCTGCCTCAGCCTCCCAAGTAGCTGGGATTACAGGCGCACGCCACCACGCCCAGCTAATTTTTTGTATTTTTAGTAGATACGGGGTTTCACCATGTTGGCCAGGGTGGTCTCAATCTCTTGACCTCATGATCCACCCACCTCGGCCTCCCAAAGTGCTGGGATTACAGGTGTGAGCCATCGCGCCCAGCCCTACCTCAAATACCTTTGAATTGAATGAGTTATTTCAGGGTTTTTGTTGTTGTTTGTTTTTTGAGATGGAGTTTCACTCTTGTTGCTCAGGCTGGAGTGCAGTGGTGTGATCTCAGCTCACTGCAACCTTCGCCTCCTGGGTTCAAGTGATTCTCCTGCCTCAGCCTCCTGAGTAGCTGGGATTACAGGCGCCCACCACCACGCCTGGCTAATTTTTTGTATTTTTAGTACAGATGGGTTTTCATCATGTTGGCCAGGCTGGTCTCGAACTCCTGACCTTGGGTGATCCACCCACCTTGGCCTCCCAAAGTGCAGGGATTACAGGCATGAGACATTGCACCCAGCCTATTTCAGGTATTTTTGTGTGGAGCTTGGAAGGAACTTTCACCTGGAAGAATGCTAAGTATTCTGTTACAGAACACTGAGCTGCAAGCAACAACTACGAAACAATTAACTGGTTTAAACCATGATTTACGGCCTACTTCACAGGAAGTCTAGAGGTATGTGGTTGATTCAGCAATTCAGCCATGTCCATCTTTGCTCTCCACTGTCCCCAGCACTCTGGTCTTTCCTCATGCTTGTCACATCCTGAGTACCAGATGCTGCCAATATGGCAGGCTCCACAGTCTTTTTTTTCAGACATTGCTTCATTCTTGTCACCGAGGCTGGAGTGCAATGGCATGATCTCAGCTCACTGCAACCTTCGCCTCCTGGGTTCAAGCAGTTATCTTGCCTCAGCCTCCCGAGTAACTGGGATTACAGGCATGCACCACCATGTCCGCTAATTGGCAGGCTCCACATTCTTATGCCAGCCATCTCAAAGGGGGTAGGGGGTCAAGTGTTTTCTTTTCCATCCAGTTGGGAAACCCTCTCACATCTCACGGACCCAGGTTGCATCACATGACCCTAGACCAGTCACTGGGGAAGGGGAATGAGATTACCTGGACCTGGATAGCGCAATCACATTTCATCTAAGGAAGCAGGCACACATGTGTCCCCTTCATGAAATACAGATAAGCAGGGGGTGGCTGAAGTAGTAGCTGTTGGACAGCAATGAACAATGCCTAACTCAAGTTTAGCAGACACGATGCACAAAATGGTATATTTGTAGGTTGTGTAGTAACCCAACTTACAATATTGTTCCTTCGAGAAAATGTGTTCTTAGCACCAAAGAGACCTTTTGGGAAACAATACTCGAAATGATCCAAAATATATGGAGTGAATTTCATATATTTATCTTTCAAAGTATACTTAACATAATTCCATCTTTATTGGGCCCTTCAGGAAGTATTAGAATCCTCTAGTTTGAGAATCAGGCTGTGCCTGGTGGCTCACCTCTGTAATCCCAGCACTTAGGGAGACCGAGGTGGGCGGATCACTTGAGGTCGGGAGATGGGTTTGCAGTGAGCCAAGATAGTGCTACTGCACTCCAGCCTGGGCAGCAGAGCGAGAGCTTGTCTAATAATAGTAAAAAAAAAAATCAATCAAATGTGAACATAGACTGTCATTAAAATCAACCCAATAATCCCATAGACTGTTTATTATTTTTTAAATAAACTTAGAAATTATGTTTTCTAGTCTTAAGGTTGAAATTTACCTTTGTTTTATCTGAGTTCCTTCCTCAGGAAAGGACCCCCAGGGCCTCTCAAAAAGTATCAAAAAACTGAAACTCACCAGATCACCGCATTCCAGACAATGAGATGCCAAGCCCCTCAGGCATCCCCATAGCTTCCTTCCCCCTTCTGAAAAGAGGAAAGTTCCTCCTTTCCCACACATTGTTGCATTGCTTCCCTGCAACTGTATAAACCCTTAATTTTAGTTGGTCAGGGCAATGGAGTGAGTCTGAGCTCCAATCTCCCTGCGTGCAGCACCCTGCTAAAACCTTCTTCCTTGGTAATAATGGTGTCTCAGTGATTGGTTTTCTGTGAGGGGGGCAGCAGGACCTAGACCAAAACCCTGTGCTCTGGTGACATTCTGTTGCAGATATTTAGAAGGATGGTTAACAGAGTTTACCTGTTAATTTGTCTGTTCTGCCATCCTCACAAAAGGTGGTATTGCCAGCTGCACATAAACATTTGATTCATCCACCGCCCCCCCTCGCCAGCCATGATGACACCGGAAAACTGAGGGCACAGGTGAGCCGCAGAGCGCATCTGGTCTCCACGTCCCGCGCTCATCCTGCTCCACAGCAGGAACCTCGTTTAACACACATGCACTGCGTGCCCATGTGGGTGCCAGGCTGCGGCTGTGTCCTGGGCAGGCAAAGGGACCTAGGGAAGATGCAGGTCCAGTGGGGTGGGAAAGGGGGGGTGGGGCAGAAAACCAGGATTCTCACGGCCCTGCAGTGTGGAGTAAGAGGGAACTCATTACACATCTTGTCAAGGGAACAAAGGATCCCCGCCAGACCCCTCCTGTGCACCCCCCAGACGCCTTGAAGACCTGGCCGGGCCCGTCGCCGGCCTCCAGCCACAGGCGTCGCTGTGCGCTCGCTCGGGCCCGGGAGCCACGTTCCGCGGGGAGCAGGCGCTGGCGCAGAGCAGGGGTTTCAGTTTCTGGCGCGAACTTCCGCCGTTCCGAAGTTGCACGGCGAATTGGCGCTATGTCTGGGGACAGCAGCGGCCGCGGGACCGAGGGCCGGGGTCGGGGCCGCGACCCGCACCGGGATCGGACCTGCTCCCGCTCCCGCTCGCGGTCCCCACTGTCGCCCAGGTCCCGCCGCGGCTCCGCGCCGGAGCGCAGGGAAGCCCCAGAGCGCCCGAGCCTGGAGGACACAGAGCCGTCGGATTCCGGGGACGAGATGATGGACCCGGCCAGCTTGGAGGCGGAGGCCGACCAAGGCCTGTGCCGCCAGATCCGCCATCAGTACCGGGCGCTCATCAACTCTGTCCAACGTAAGGCGGTGCCTCCGGGCGGCGCGGGCCGGGCCGTCGTCCCCGCCCTGCGCCGGGCGCGGTGGGGAGGGCACCGGAGGCAGGTGCCAGGCGCAGGCCCCGCGCGGCGCGAGTAGAGACGCGCCGGATGCCAGCCGTTCGCCGCGCGCAGCTCCTTAATTTATTGACAAAGTGCTTCCACAGCTGTTCTGTGGCTGGAGCCGTGCGACCTTGGCGGGGGGCGCGCGGGTACCCGAGTGGCGGGCTGGAAAAGCTGGAGGCCAGAGCCGTTCGCGGACTCTCCTGAGCCCAGCCAGCCAGTGGGGAGAGGCAAGACGCGGACTCCGCGTGCTTTGATTGCGCCCGGCGGTCCTCGGAGTGGGCTCCTGGCCCCGCAGCGGCAGCGGCACGCGAGAGCTGTCAAATGCACGTTCTCGGACCCCACCCGGACCCACGGAATCCGAATCTCTGGGTGGGCCCGCCCAACTATGGCGTGGCCCTCCAGGTGATGGTGTGTGTTGCTTGCAAAGTTTGAGAACCACTCGGTTATGGAGCACTCAGAGGATGCAGCCGGAGTCCAGCCCTTTGTGTTAAGGTTAGAGGGAGCCAGTGTTTCGTTTTAAAATTCATGCTGCATATAGGATAGGGTCGCCTTTTTCCTTTTCCGGGCCATTTTGGTTAAAAACATAAAGATGTTGGAAGTAATTACTCAGGGCGCAGGGGCCGGGCCTTGGCTTTGCTGTTGTAGGTGATAACCTTGTCAACTGCTTATTAGTGAATGCGTAACAAGTTTCCCAAAGTTTGTATTTTTTAAAATAGAAAACCGGGAGGACATACTGAATGCTGGTGACAAATTAACAGAGGTCCTTGAAGAGGCTAACACTCTGTTTAATGAAGGTAATTTGTTATTTTACGTTCTCTCGTGTTTTATGATACTTTTCATTAGTGTTATATAAGCGCCAAATTATTGACATCAAGTAATTCTCATATTTGTAATAGTGCTTTCCCAGTTTGGGAACCGTTTCATTATAGCAATAATGCCATTTTTATTATGCGCTTACTATATAATAAGGGCTTTACGTGAAAATTTGGGGGTAGGTCCCGCAGTCTGTATTAAGCCCCCAGTTGATTCTGTTGCCTTTTCAAGTTTGAGAACGTTGCATGTGTTATCTTTTTTCTTTTTCTGTATTTACTGCCGTAGCCCTAGTATACACTGGTTGAGTGGATGAATTACAGAACTGAGCTAGCCTCTGACATCCTGTTTCTTTTCCTGTCCCACCCTCAGTCTTGCCTTCCTCAGCTCCCTGCTATTGGTCCACCTGTAGCGCAGTGGAGGTGGCAAGGCCTGCAAGTGTACCTGCTGGTCTCCAGTCTGCGGTGTGTTGTGTGTGAGTGAGTGAGAGAGATCCCAGAGCACTGAACTCTAGGCCGTGGGTGCTTTAAAAAATAACCTTAGTTTGAATTGAAAGCAGCGGCAGTGGTATTGATAGCAGCCGTCTGTCTGCTTGGTAACAGGGGTACTCCCTGATGTGGGTTCATGGTCATAGAGCCACAGGACTGCTACCCAGACCACTGTCCCCTCCAGCCCTCTCTGGCAGGTCTGTGGGAACCATAGGGGAGAATGCAGCCAAATTTTTTTTTTTGGAGATTTAAGATGGAGTCGTTTTTTTTTTTTTTTTTTTTGAGACGGAGTCTCGCTGTGTCGCCCAGGCTGGGGTGCAGTGGCGCGATCTCGGCTCACTGCAAGCTCCGCCTCCTGGGTTCACGCCATTCTCCTGCCTCAGCCTCCGAGTAGCTGGGACTACAGGCGCCCGCCACCACGCCCGGCTAGTTTTTTGTATTTTTAGTAGAGACGGGGTTTCACCATGTTAGCCAGGGATGGTCTCGATGTCCTGACCTCGTGATCCACCCTCCTTGGCCTCCCAAAGTGCTGGGATTACAGGCTTGAGCCACCGCGCCCGGCCTAAGATGGAGTCTTACTCTGTCTCCCAGGCTGGAGTGCAGTAGCACAATCTCGGCTCTCTGTAACCTCCACCTCCCAGGTTCAAGCGATTCTCCTACCTCAGCCTCCTGAGTAGCTGGGATTACAGGTGTGCTCCATCACATCCAGCTAATTTTTGTATTTTTAGTAGAGATGGGGTTTCGCCACGTTGGCCAGGCTGGTCTTGATCTCCTGACCTCAGGTAATCCACCTGCCTCCGCCTCCCACAGTGCTGGGATTACAGGCATGAGCCACCACAGTCGGCCGGTTCCTCATATTATTATTATTATTTTTTTTTGAGATGGAGTCTTGCTCTGTCGCCCGGGCTGGAGTGCAGTGGCCGAATCTCAGCTCACTGCAAGCTCCGCCTCCCAGGTTTACGCCATTCTCCTGCCTCAGCCTCCCGTGTAGCTAGGACTACAGGCGCCCGCCACCTCGCCCGGCTAGTTTTTTGTATTTTTTAGTAGAGACGGGGTTTCACTGTGTTAGCCAGGATGGTCTCCATCTCCCGACCTCGTGATCCGCCCGTCTCGGCCTCCCAAAGTGCTGGGATTACAGGCGTGAGCCACCATGCCTGGCCATGACTAGTTTTTTAAATGTCTCCTTTTTCACTTTATATATGCTCTCCAATTTCTGTTTCTTCTTTGACCAAAGCCTCCTTACCATTTCCCATCTTAGTCTACTGCATTTGCTAAACTTCATCAAAACCTTCAGGAACCAGGTCTTTCTCCTTCACCTGTTTAAATCCCTCCACTACCCTCTTAAGCTTGGTCTTCCCTTCATAGCCTGGACTCTCAGTCTCCTCGCTGTTAGTCTTGCTTGACTCAATCACTCCCTTGATATTTACTATGCATCTAGTCAGTTCTTTATCCCCACATCATTTCCCCCTCAGCTATTTCCAGTATTTAAAGCAACATTTTAGGGCAAAATTATTCAGTCAATGGAGCCTTAGTTTGCTCACCAAACAATAGACGCTTGGCATTCATGGATTTGATGGTCTCAGTTTGTAACATAAATAAATAAATGAAAGGAGAAGGGAATGGGGCAGGCAGGCACAGGATACTCAGGAGATGAAGAAGGGTCAACAAAAGGCAACAGTGGGGCTGAGGGGTTGCTTAATCAGACCCTGCAGGCAACAGGGAGTATGAAAAGTAGTCTGGGAACACCTAAATCTGTCGCCCAGGCTGGAGTGCAGTGGCATGATTTTGGTTCACTGCAACCTCCGCCCCCCACGTTTAAGCGATTCTCCAGCTTCAGCAGCCGAGTAGCTGGGATTACAGGTGTGCACCACCATGCCCAGCTAATTTTTGATTCTTTAGAGACGGAGTTTCACCGCATTGCCCAGGCTGGTCTCAAACTTTGGAGTTCAAAGTGATCCGCCTGCCTCGGCTTCCCAAAGTGCAGGGATTACAGGCATGAGCCGCTGCGCCCGGCCTGTTTCTCCATTAATTTAAATCTTTTTTTCCATAGCTTTTGTTAAATCCCACGTACTCTGTCAAGCCTTTCTTGAGCATCCATCCTCAGGGGTCCCTACTTGCTGCCTGTAGACTGTTCATTTGGGTGGCTTTGCTGGGGTTGCCTGTGAAGCCATACAGAGGCATGAGCCTCCTGATGCCAGCCTAGCACATGCCATGATTTTGGTTAGCAACGTTAGCAACTTACCTATTGCTGTTCACAAACCACCATGCCAAGCACAGGGCCCTGCATGTAGTGGGAATTTGATTGTCCTTACATCGGCACACATGATCATCGTGATTAGGATGGGTTATTGAGTCAGAGGGAAAAGTGAGTATTAGACATGACAGGGGTTTTGCTCAACTGGGGTTATTTAAGAGATTGTGATTCAGCTAACAGGAGTAGGAGAACTAGAGAGAAAGCTGGCTTTTAGGAAGACTGGTCAGCTTTCATTAGAGATTGTGGTGAGTTGGGCAGGGGAGCAAGTTTTAGAAGGAGATGGGTCGGTTGCCTATTGAGATTTTCTTTTTTTTTTGTTAGTCTAGTGGGAAATCCTGGTAAGTAGTTGGAAATGTAGGGAAAATATCTATGGATAACGTGTATTTTGTAATGTGAATATTTTCTTTTCTTTTTTGCATAGTGTCCCGAGCAAGAGAAGCAGTCCTAGATGCCCACTTTCTTGTTTTGGCTTCCGATTTGGGCAAAGAGAAAGCAAAGCAGCTGCGCTCAGACCTGAGTTCCTTTGACATGTTAAGATATGTTGAAACTCTAGTAAGTTCAAAGCTACAGACTGAATAAGAAATGTTCTATGTTATATAATTATTTACTTTGCTTATATCCATATGCAGATGATTTCACTTCATTCTTTTTTGGTCTCAGATTCCTCTAGAGAGATCTTACCAAATTAAACAGATGAAAGGAGAGCTATGTGGTGGAATTTTGGATGGGGGCTTGGAGTGAAAATCTCATAGCGTTCTGTCTTAAGATGCTGGGTGCTGGGGTCATTTGCCAATAGCCGTTTTTCCTTTGTTCACTGGTGTTCTAGATCCTTCTCAGCGACCGGGGACCTTTTTCTTGGGCTGGACAGAAGCACACTCTGTGACGGCAGAGCTCAGCTGGAATTGAGTTAGGCCTGGCGAGAGGGCATGTTTTGGTCTGTCTTTGAGAATATTTCAAAACCATATGCATATGATTGGGTTTTGCTTTTTTGTTTTTTTCCTTTGAGACAGAGTCTCACTCTGTCGCCCAGGCTAGAGTGCAGTGGCGCGATCTCGGCTCACTGTAAGCACTGCCTCCTGGGTTCACGCCATTCTCCTGCCTCAGCCTTCCGAGTAGCTGGGACTACAGGCGCCCGCCACCTCGCCCAGCTAATTTTTTTGTATTTTTAGCAGAGACGGGGTTTCACCATGTTAGCCAGGATGGTCTGGATCTCCTGACCTTGTGATCTGCCCGGCTCGGCCTCCCAAAGTGCTGGGATTACAGGCGTGAGCCATCCAGCCCAGCCAGGTTTTGGTTTTTTTGGTTTTATGTTTTATTCACCTTTCTTTGTCTCTTGACAAGTTTGAATAGTGGTTACCTGCAATTCTGAAACTGTTCCTTGATGAATTTACCAAAAAAAGAAAAAGCACACAGAGACTGACCTTGTAGCTCACTTTGTTGTCTTTTTAAAAAATTCTATTCTGGCCAGGCGCAGTGGCTCACGCCTGTAATCCCAGCACTTTGGGAGGCTGAGGCGGGTGGATCACCTGAGGTCAGGAGTTTGAGACCAGCCTGGCGAACATGATGAAACCCCGTCTCTACTAAAAACACAAAAATTAGCTGGGTGTGGTGGTGGGCACCTGTAATCCCAGCTACTTGGGAGGCTAAGGCAGGAGAGGCAGAAGTTGCAGTAAGCCGAGATCACACCACTGCACTCTAGCCTGGGCTACAGAGTGAGACTCCGTCTCAAAATCAATTAATCAGTCAGTGTATCAATCTGAGCCAACCTCTGTCCTAGCACAGATAGCTGCACCTCAGTAGGAACATTGTATTTCTAACTGGATGTTTATGTCAAATGGTTATTAAAATAATTTAGTACTATGAGATCTGACCAGATAAAGTACTTTTTTTGTAAAGGCAGGAGGCATGAGATTATTTCCAGTTTGTTTTTCAAACCTTTTCCTTTTTTCTTAAACTTTTTTTTATTGTGAAGCATAATACACTTAGGAAAATGCACTCTAATATACATCAATAAAGTAACCATATATTGTGTATTTCTTTAAAAATTACTTTATCAGGTTAAGCTCTGTACTTTACTTTTTTTGTTTTTTTATTTTTTGAGACGGAGTCTTGCTCTTGTTGCCCAGGCTGGAGTGCAATGGCATGATCTCAGCTCACCACAACCTCCACCTCCTGGGTTCAAGTGATTCTCCTGCCTCAGCCTCCCAAGTAGCTGGGATTACAGGCATCTGCCACCTCGCCTGGATAATTTTTGTATTTTTTGTAGAGATGAGGTTTCGCCATGTTGGCCAGGCTGGCCTCGAACTCCTGACCTCGTGATCCACCCGCCTTGGCCTCCCAAAGTGTTGGGATTACAGGTGTGAGCCACCGTGCCCGGCCAAGCTCCATATTTTAAATTCTAAATAAATAAATTTAGAATTTATTTATTCTAAAATAAATTCTAGAAGTCTTAAAGCATTAAATATAAAACCTTAAATTAATAGTTGTCAAGTCTCTGGGCGGAGAAGACTTTCTTATGTATAACATCAAATATAGACACTGTAAGGGAAGATTGGTGGATCTCTCTGTCAGTTAAACAGACCAAAACTGCCACATCCACCTACAAGGGTGCCGTGGTAGGACGGGCGGCAAGGGAACAGAGAAGAGCAGGCTCTTGTAGTCTTTCTTTAAAGTCTGGTTGCCTTTAATAGGGTTAAGCTCCCCAAGGGTCTTGTGATTATTGTTTATATATGATGTTGCCATCATAACTGGATAACTTCTAGGCATTTTACAGTATAATGTAATAAAAATGGACTTTCATAAAAGTAAATTCAATATAACACATTTTCTGTAAGACAGTTTGAGATGAGAGAATTATTTGACTTCCGTCTACTCTTCCCAGGAAGGGAATTTTAAGATGAGCCATTCTCTCAGTAATGCCGGGCCACTGCTCTCTGGATATACCGCGATACAAGCTGAATAGAGATTTGTAGGACGTTTGCAAAAAATTAAAATCTGAACACCAGCTGAACTTGCTGGTGCTGTCGTGAAGCTTTTGATTTGGGATTTAATTTTATATTTGTATGCTAGTGCAGCTTTACTAATACATGAACTATTGGCGATACAGAAATTCCCAGGGGGCTGAGTTCCGGCGTACCTAAATCACTCTGCCTGCCAGTGGGCTAGAGTAGGGTTTCTCAGCACTGACACTATTGATTGACATTTGGAGCTGGGCATGTCTTTGTTTTGGGGGCCGGTACTGTGCATTGTATGATATTCAGCAGCCTCCGTGGCCTCTACCCAGTAGATGCCAGCAGCATATCAGTTGTGACACCCAAAAATATCTCCAGGTATTGCCAAAAGACCCCTGTGGGTAAGTATACCCAGGTTGAGAACCACTAGTCTAAATCATTTCACTTTCTCACCCAAAGGTTTTAAGTACATTGAGGAATATTTTCTGCCAAAAAGAAGGTAGCTTTGAAAAGAGGACTTTAACTGTAAAGTTATCTTTACAATAAGAAATTTAGCCAGCATATTAAGACACTGAAAGCAGGCTTTGCGTCTGGCCTCTTAAAGGTTGAGTGATGCAGATTATTGGATGTGGACAATGATTGCGTGTGGCTTAACTGGGTTTTTTGTTTTCCTTCATTTTTGTAGCTCACACATATGGGTGTAAATCCGCTAGAAGCTGAAGAACTTATCCGTGATGAAGATAGTCCTGATTTTGAATTCATCGTCTATGACTCCTGGAAAATATCAGGCAAAACAGCAGAAAACACCTTTAATAAAACCCATACATTCCACTTTCTGTAAGATTATTTTAAAAATCCAACAGACCAGCTATTTGTGAACCTTAAATTGTTTTTTGTTGTAGGGATAAAGATTATTTGGTATTGTAGAGGTGACAGTCATGATGCCGTTGTTTGGAGACTTGAAACTTTGATATAAAAGTTCATAAACACTACTCCGGGCATGGTGGCTCACGCCTTTAATCCCGGCACTTTGGGAGGTGGATACAGGTAGATCATCTGAGCTCAGGAATTCAAGATCAGCCTGGGCAACATGGCGAGAACCCATCTCTACCAAAAATACAAAAAATTAGCCCGCTGTGGTGGCCCATGCCTGTGGTCCTGGCTATTTGGGAGGCCGAGGTGGGAGGATCTCTTGAGCCTGGGAGGCAGAGATTGCAGTGAGCTGAGATGGTGCCACTGCACTCTGGCCTGGGTGACAGAGTGAGACCCTGTCTCAAAAAAAAGAAAAGTCCATAAACTCTAGATGTGGGTGGAACCTTAAAGGATCTCTCATTCTGCTTTAGCAGAAAAGGCCAGAACCTCTTTACCAGTGCTCTCTCCTGGCTCCTTTGCTTCTAGCTCATGAGGCTCTGGGTTTATCATCTTTAAAATCCTTACCATATAGGAGGATGATACCTCCTACTGAGGGTATCTTCCTTATGAATGTTTTAATACCTTGATGACACTGACTTGTATTTGAAGATACTGTCACTGCCATAAACTGCCTGTTCATTTTTTTTTTTTTTTTTTTGAGACGAGTTCGCTCTCGCCCAGGCTGGAGTGCAGTGCCGATTCGCTCACTGCAAGCTCCGCTCTGGGTTCACGCATTCTCCTGCCTCAGCCTCCGAGTAGCTGGACTACGCCCCACCCTTCGGCTAATTTTTTGTATTTTTAGAGAGGGGTTCACCGTGTCCGATCTCCTGACCTTGATCCGCCCGCCTCGGCCTCCAAGTGCTGGGATACAGGCGTGGCCCCGCGGCTGCCTGTTCATTTTTTAGATAGAACTCTGATTTTAAAAAAAGATTTCTTCATATTCGAATGAAGTTGGCTTCTGTCTTAACTTCCTGGCATGGTCCTATGGAGAAACTAAGAACAGCTCTTACTGGCTCTTCTCTAAGAGGACCTTCAAGTATATTGGTTTTGTTGCCCAGTAGATACTTTCTCTAGGGGTAGCCATCTGAGTTGTTCAGTCCTCCTTTAAGTGGTATAGCTCCTGGGCATTTGTCTTTTCTAATTTGTCTTTTTAAAAACCTTTGAGATTGGTAATGGCTCGGGTAGAAGGCCTTGGAGATGCCAATGTAGTAGTGTGGTGTGGGATCTGGCATCTATTTTTAGTAAGACTTCAGGTAACTCAGGTGCCCAGAGCCATTTGAGTATGTTCTATTTAATAGGATACCGACGAAACTTCTTTATCTTAACGATAAAGTCTAAATCTTTGTTTTTTGCTATCGTACTAAACTCATAAATCCTAGGTTATAAAGATAAAGCCTTAAACTTTATCTCATCATCCAGCCCAATTTCCAGCCACAATGAAGTACTTAAAACTGTGTCTTTGTACTTGCTGTTCTCTTGGCCTCCAATTCCTTTTCATCTTTCCCATTCGGTAAAGTTTGTTTATCCAGCAGGGCCCCATCTTGGAAGCCTCCAGCAACTTCTCCAGACAGAGGTGTTAGCAGTGTAGGATCAGATTTCCCAACCACGCCACTCCCATGTCTGGGTAGATATCTCTGCCCAGGTGTTCTCACAGCACTTGAGCAGTACTCTCTAAGCACCCAGGATCTACCATGTTACTTTTTTTAAATTTGATTAATTTATTTTTTGATACTGCTCCTTGTGGAGCAGGAGTGTGCCCAGAGTAACCCACCATGTGATGCTGAAATGGATCTGTGTGTATAACGTAGCTGTCCATCTACATCGTATACTTCCGTCTCCTCAAGTGTAGGGACCACATGAGCCTTATTCTTGGGGCTTTGATCTCTACATGATGCAGACTTACATCTATTACTGCAGCCCAAGTCTGTATGAGGGCAGAATCCAGAAGGAAAAGGAGTCCCATGGCTGTGACTTGCCCTGTTACTCTAAGACAGATGTGTTCGTAGTCCTGGGCTGGGAGCCTCTGCCTTGGCCTCCCCAGATCAAAGGCTTCTGACCCCACTGGAGCTTCCCCACATGCCTACTCATCCTTCCCCTGCTCTTTTAGAAGTTGGCTTTGCAAAACAGATAATAGGTTGGGTGGTGGGAAGAGGTCACAGGCACATTCACTGGCCTGCTGTACAGGGCAGTATGAAGGTGTCTGAGGAGGTATCAGTGGTTGAGTAAAGCTCCTAGGAGTTACTTTAGAAATACAAAGAAGGCAGAAAGGCTGTCACAAACCTTACTAAGAGTCTTAGTCTGATGTCAGCTTGTATATCACTAATGTCTGGTCTGAATTTGACTATATCATGCAAACTGCTTTTAGTAAAATTAGTTTGTTTAACAAACAACAGGCAAAAAAATACATGAAAGCATATTTTTCATCAGGTTGGGTTCCATATACGGAGAGTGCCCTGTGCCAAAGCCACGAGTCGACCGTCCAAGAAAAGTTCCTATGATACAAGAGGAGAGGGCAATGCCTGCCCAGGTTTGTTTTAAAATGTTGCTTTTTAAAAAACACCTAAAAGTTAAAATAGCCATTAAAATAATGTGCATGCAATTTGGCCATTTTTTCTAAGCGTGCAGGTCTGGAGCCAGGTTTTGTCACTTAAATAATCGTTTTATTTAAGCCTTTAAGCATTTTATCGGACTGACTGCTTGTCTTTAACTCATTTCTCTGGTTTTGATCGGCTCTCCTAAGCCAGGGTCAGCCTCACCACTGTCAACACTTAGGGCTGGATAATTTTTGGTTTGGGGAACTGTCCTGTGCATTGTAGGATGTTTAGCAGCATCCCTGGCCTCTACCTGCTATATGCTCATAGCCCACCTCAACCCCCGAGCTGTGACAACCAAAAATATCTACATATAACAACAAATGTCCCTTAGGGGTGTGGGGGGGAAGTCACACCCACTGGAGAACCACTGTTTCTAAACTGCCCTTTTGTATTTTGCTATTTTATGTTCAACCTGAAAATGGTTAATTTGGTAATGTTACTCTTCTATTAAGAAACTGATAGAAAAATGTTACCGAGGCCAGGCACAGTGGCTCACTCCTGTAATCCCAGCACTTTGGAAGGCTGAGGCGGGCAGATCACAGGGTCAAGAGTTCGAGACCATCCTATGGTGAAACTCCATCTCTACTAAAAATACAGAAATTAGCCAGGCGTGGTGGTGGGCGCCTGTAGTCCCAGCTACTTGGGAGGCTGAGGCAGGAGAATCACTTGAACCCAGGAGGCAGAAGTTGCAGTGAGCCGAGATCGCGCCACTGCACTCCAGCCTGGGCAACAGAGCGAGAGTCTGTCTCAAAACAAAAAACAAAACAAAACAAAAAAAAGGTTGGCCGGGTGCGGTGGCTCACCCCTGTAATCCCAACACTGGGAGGCCAAGTCGGGTGGATCACCTGAGGTCAGGAGTTCAAGACCAGCCTGGCCAACATGGTGAAACCCCGTTTCTACTAAAAAATACAAAAGATGAGCCGGATGTGGTGGCAGGTGCCTATAATCCCAGCTACTCGGGAGGCTAAGGCAGGAGAATCACTTGAACCTGGGAGGTGGAGGTTGCAGTGAGCCAAGATGGCGCCATTGCACACCAGCCTGGGCCACAGAGCAACACTCCATCTCAAAAAAAAAAGTTACTGAAACTAGAAAATCTGTATTTTTTTAAACCATATGTATGTTTTTTTTCTTTTTGAGACAGAGTCTTGCTCTGTCACCCAAGCTGGAGTGCAGTGGCACAATCTCATCTCACTGCAACCTCTGCCTCCCGGGTTCCAGCGATTCTCCTGCCTCAGCCTCCCAAGTAGCTGGGATTACAGGCATGCACCACCATGCCTGGTTAATTTTTGTATTTTTTAGTAGAGATGGGGTTTCACCATATTGGCCAGGCTGGTCTTGAACTCCTGACCTTGTGATCCATCCACCTCAGCCTCCCTCAGTGCTGAGATTACAGGTATGAGCCACTGTGCCCTGCCTAAACCATAAATTTTAAGATGGGGACATAAACTGCTAGTAATCCCCAACAGACGACATTTAGGCTGGGCACAGTGGCTCGTGCCTGTTACCTAGGTGCTTCGGGAGGCTGAGGCAGGAGGATCACTTGAGGTCATAAGTTTGAGACCACCCTGAGCAACATAGCAAGACCTCATATCTAAAAAAAATTTTTTTTAATTAGCACGGTGTCCTAGACAAGGTAGCATGAGTTAAAAAAAAAAAAAAAAGTAACCAGATGTGGTGGTGCACGCTTCTAGTCCCAGCTACTCAAGAAGCTGAGGTGGTAGGATCCCTTGAGCACAGGAGTCTGAGGTTACAGTGAGCCAAGATCATGCAACTGCACTCTAATCTGGGTGGCAAAGCAAGACCCTGTCTCAAAAAAAAAAAAAAGTTTGAGTATGCAAGAGTGAAGAAAAGGTTGTTAATAGGCCAGTAAGTAGGTCTGTCAGCTTGATAATGACTTTTTTCAGTTAAGAAGAATGGAAGAATCTCATCAAGAAGCAACAGAGAAAGAAGTAGAAAGAATTTTGGGATTGTTGCAGACATATTTTCAAGAAGATCGTAAGTGTAACACCATTCAAAGTGGAGCAATTTGTATTTATCTGTTCAGTGAGGTTACTTGTATTTTAAAGGCAGTTTCAGCTGTATGTAATGTTTGAATAAATGCATATTCATTTAATGAGGATTCTTCTCCCCTTTAGAAATTTCATGTGAAAAGTTTGAAGTTAACTTTTTCATTTTTATCTTTAAAAGATTTTTTTGTTACAAAATGAAATATGCATTCAAGTGAGAAATGTCAAAAGTACCCGTTCCACCTCCCCTCATTATAAAATGTAATGTGTATATTTTCAGATTATTTTATCAGTTTTATACACGCCTACCTAAATAGTTTGTTTTGGCCGGGCATGGTGGCTCATGCCTGTAATCCCAGCACTTCGGGAGGCTGAGGCAGGCGGATCACCTGAGGTCGGGAGTTCGATACCTGCCTGACCAACATGGAGAAACCCTGTCTCTCTAAAAAATACAAAATTAGCCCGGTGTGGTGGTGTGTGCCTGTAATCCTAGCTACTCTGGAGAGTGAGGCAGGAGAATCGCTTGAACCCGGGAGGTGGAGGTTGCATGAGCTGAGATCGTGCCATTGCACTCTAGCCTGGGCAACAAGAATGAAACTCTGTCTCAAAAAAAGTTTGTTTTTTTTCTTTTTTTCCAAGCTAATCATTATATGCACATTCTTCTGCTATGCGACTTTTCCAGTGGACATTCTTCCATATTATTTCATATAGATCTCCATTATTTTGTTGACCAATTCCCATTATATGGCTGTGCTGTAAATGTATTTAACAGACCCTCCATAATGGTTTTTTTTTTTTTTTAGAAGAAGTCTCTCGCTCTGCCGCCCGGGCTGGAGTGCAGTGGCGCAATCTCAGCTCACTGCAAGCTCCGCCTCCTGGGTTCATACCATTCTCCTGCCTCAGCCTCCCAAGTAGCTGGGACTACAGGGGCCCGCCACCACGCATGGCTAATTTTTTTGTATTTTTAGTAGAGCCTGGGTTTCACCGTGTTAGCCAGGATGGTCTCGATCTCCTGACCTTGTGATCCACCCGCCTTGGCCTCCCATAGTGCTGGGATTACAGGCGTGAGCCACTGTGCCTGGCCAAGTTCCCTTTTTTTTTTTTTTTTTGAGACAGAGTCTCACTCTGTCACCCAGGCTGGAGTGCAGTGGCACCATCTCAGCTCACTGCAACCTCCACCTCCCAGGTTCAAGCAATTCTCCTGCCTCAGCCTCCCGAGTAGCTGGGATTATAGGTGCACGCCACGTCTGGCTAATTTTTTTCAGTATTTTTAGTTAGAGACAGGGTTTCGCCATGTTGGCCAAGCTGGTCTTGAACTCCTGACCTCAGGTGATCTGCCAGCATCAGCCTCCCAAAGCGCTGGGATTACAGGCGTGAGCGCCATGCCCAGCTGGATGAATAAGTTCTTTATAGCATTTTACTCTTGTATAAATTGCTGAAGTAAAAAATCTTAGCATGTAATTTTGTGTTCTTGCACTCATGTTGCTGTAGGACAGCTTCTTAGAGGTGGTTTCCAGGTCAGTGAGCGTACATGTTTTTAGTAGAGATGCCAGATTGGCCTCCAGAAGGGTTGGATTGATTTGCACTCCTGCAGCAGGATGAGTGCACACCCTTTCTTTGTCTCTGGCTAATGCTAGAGTATACTGATATTAATGATAAACAAAAATCAAATCTTTTTTCTCTTTTTGTCTATAGCTGATACCCCAATGTCCTTCTTTGACTTTGTGGTTGATCCTCATTCTTTCCCCCGTACAGTGGAAAACATCTTTCATGTTTCCTTCATTATACGGGTAAGATTAAAGATTATTTTTCTAATTGCTTTTATGTGCTTTTAAAAGGATACATAAGAAAAGCTGTAGAAGGGAGCTGGCAAAGGTATCTGTATACACTAGCCAGTATATGTTTCAGACGCATTGTAGCAAAACGTTAATTGGCATATTAGGTAGAAGAAGCTAGCTAAAATTTTATGTGCTTGCTTTTATGTTTTAGACATTATGTAGAGAAAGAATTGGAAAAATTTGAATATGGAACTGTAGATTAGGTAACAGTATGGTATAAATGTTAAATTTCCTGAATTTGATAGTTGTCATGTTGTATAAGAGAATATCCTTGTTCTCAAGAAATACACACTGAAAGATTAGGGAAAAGCAGCAGGCCGCCTATCATTCTCACTTCATTCATAAATAATAGTATGTAGAGTGATAAAGTAAACGTGGTAACTAACACTTTAATGACTGATGAATATGGATAAAGGATATATGGCATGTGTTTATAGTAGTTTTATAGCCCTTTAAGTCTGAAATTTTTTCAAAATCGGTTTTAAAACTCTACTCAGAAATGTACCATGGAAATTTACTTTAGACTGTCTTTAATCTTACTTCAGGTTACATTCCCACATGTAAGATGAATTTGATTTTAACCTTAGAGAAAAGCTTATGTCGACCAAAGTATTTTCTCAGAAATAATAAAAAAGGCATATTTTGCCAGTGGTTCCAGTGACAGAATTATGCAGAATAAAATGTGGAGTATTCCAAAATATATATAAATCAGTTAAAGAGACAAGATGAGTTTCACTTAAGAGATTCTCAGGGTGGAGGCTGTGTCTGGGTGAAAGAGCTGATTAGAAACCCAAAAGATACCCTGTGTAAACAAAAGATATTAGGGAAGTCTTATCTATATCATCACATTATTGCTATGGTATAATTTGATTTTCTGAGATACTGAATTTTCTGAGTAATTTTTTTCATCTAGTGGTTATAGGTTTGAGTCTTAAATGTTTGTCTTCTCCTAAAATCATGTTTTCGTTTTAGGATGGTTTTGCAAGAATAAGACTTGACCAAGACCGACTGCCAATAATAGGTAAATGATACTATGTTTGGAAAAATTAGTTTTAGAGAAAATATATTTGTTAGTAGAATTTAAGTATTTTACTAAATGTAAATGAATTTTCAATGTAGATTAACGTTTACAATATTGTATCTTGCTCAACTACCTGAAGACACTGAAAACATGGCCAGCGTCTAAAATTTGATGGATTCATCTATATCATTGATTCAATATCTGCTGTAAATATTAACAAAGAAATGATATAATTTCCCTCAGATCTTAATTTAGAAACGACTGCAGTCATTTTTGTAGTATCCCTCTTTCTAATCACATTTTGTCAGATGCCAGCACCTTCTTTTCTCCTTGAGGTTCTATGAATCTTTCATTCTTACCTGAGTAATTTCACTCTCCATTACTCATGTCCTCCTAAGGCATCCTGTGGAGAGAATATTTCCATCGCACTTACTTGCTACTTTCGATGTTCTCAGTGTCCTATTGGACTCACTAGGGCTTAGCTCTGTGGTTGACACATAGATATGCAGATTTTCAAATGTCTCGAATGTGTTACTCTACTACATGTTTTTTTAAATGGAAACAGATGGGATGACTGACTACTGTAATAATACTGCAGCAGCTCCATAATGCATGAAATCCTAAATAGTGTGTAATATTATAAGTATCTTTTCAATACAGGTTTCATTGCTATTATACATCAGTTTCCGTTTAGATTACCTGTTCCGATTTAATAACCTTTGATAAATTTGAAAAATTTGTCTTTCAAACAGAGCCTGTTAGTATTAATGAAGAAAATGAGGGATTTGAACATAACACACAAGTTAGGAATCAAGGAATTATAGCTTTGAGTTACCGTGACTGGGAGGTAAAGCTCTGCCTGTTGCCCCTGCATAGTTCTGACTCTGACTTCACTTTCTGTAAACCCAACGCCTAAATGTTCATTATTGTCTGCCAGGAGATTGTGAAGACCTTTGAGATTTCAGAGCCTGTGATTACTCCAAGTCAGAGGCAGCAGAAGCTAAGTGCTTGATGCTAGCTGAAGGTAATGTTTTCAATGGGATGGCTACACAGTTTTATTAAAAGTTTATTTGGCAATCCAAAGTATCCTTTTTCCCCATTCCAGTGAAATTTGGATTTTTGCCTCCCTGTAGTGCCCTATTCTTAGAACTGTGTAACAGGTGAGAAAGGCATAGTGGTTCTACGTTCCCTTCTCTGGATTGATTAAATTTGTGCTGTTAAGATTTGCAGCTGAGGCTGGGCACCGTGGCTCATGCCTGTAATCCCAGCACTTTGGGAGGCTGAGGCAGGCGGATCACGAGGTCAAGAGTTCGAGACCAGCCTGACCAACATGGTGAAACCCCATCTCTACTAAAAATACAAAAATTAGCTGGGCGTGGTGGTGCACGCCTGTAATCCCAGCTACTTGGGAGGCTGAGGCAGGAGAATCGCTTGAGCCTGGGAGGCGGAGGTTGCAGTGGCCGAGATCACGCCACTACACTCCGGTCTAGGAGACAGAGCAAGGCTCCATCTCAAAAAAAAAAAAAAGATTTGCAGCTGAAAGAAACAGTGCAGGATTGTTCTTGGTTTGGTGGGTTTTGTTTTTGTTTTTAATAAAAAATAGGGAAGGGGTCTCACTATGTTGCCCAGGCTGGTCTCAAACTCCTGGGCTCAAGGGATGCACCCATCTCAGCCTCCCAAACTGCTGAGATTATAGGTATGAGCCACTGTACCCAGCTGCTTCTTTTCCCCCCAACAAACTGGTAAATTAGATAAGTGAAATATTGAATCCTTCCATCCATGTTGTTGTTCACTGTACCATTAGATTTGCTTATTTTATAAGTACAAAGCAGAAAAAGAGGATTAGGATACAATTACCTTAGAATAATGTTGGTAAATTGGCATTTCTAAAGTTTGTATTAGGCTATGAAAGAATTCTTCATTTTTATCAAGGGTAACATTTCTAGAAAGAAATCTTAATAATGATCTGGCATTTTGTAGTGCACACAGTTGTGGGTGGGAAGACCTAGATTCCATTGGCTATGCCCCTTACTTTATTTATTTTTGTCCCTTACTTTAAAACCTTGGGCAAATCATTTAATCTCACTCAACTTCATTTTTTTTTTTTTTGAGACAGAGTCTTGCTCTGTCACCCAGGCTAGAGTGCAGTGGCACGATCTCAGCTCACTGCAACCTCTGCCTCCCGGGTTCAAGCAATTCTCCTGCCTCAGCCTCCCGAGTAGCTGGGATATAGGCACCTGCCACCATGCCCAGCTAAATTTTGTATTTTTAGTACAGACGGGGTTTCACCATGTTGGTCAGGCTGGTCTCAAACTCCTGACCTCGTGATCTGCCCGCCTTGGTTTCCCAAAGTGCTGGGATTACAGATGTGAGCCACCATGCCTGGCTTCAACTTCATTTTTTTTTAATCTATAAATACATCTGTAAAATGGGAAGATTTTCAAGCTAGATCATTGCTAAGGATTTTTTTTCCAGCTCAAATTTTGTGATTTTGAGCATTAAAATAAGCTTTTTCGTACTTAATGTAAACACTTAATATGTGCTTCAATTAATTGAAATACTTTTGTTCCAAGTTGTAAAAATATTTTAAATGAAAGAAGGGAATAGACCGGGCGTGGTGGCTCACGCCTGTAATCCCAGTACTTTGGGAGGCCAGGGCGGGCGGATCATGAGGTCAGGAGATTGAGACCATCCTGGCTAACACAGTGAAACCCAGGCTTTACTAAAAATACAAAAGCCTGGCGTGGTGGCGGGCGCCTGTAGTCCCAGCTACTCAGGAGGCTGAGGCAGGAGAATGGGGTGAACCCGGGAGGCGGAGCTTGCAGTGAGCTGAGATCACGCCACTGCACTCTAGCCTGGGCAACAGAGCAAGACTCCATCTCAAAAAAAAGAAAAAAAGAAGGGAATAAATATAAGATATATAATGTGGATTACCCTGGGCCCTACTCACTGAAGAGGGCTAATTGTTAGATTTCATTTATGTATATTATATGAACTTTTGGTTTATCATTTATAAACTGTTAACCAGCTATTCTTCCCCTTTTTAGGACTCAAATGGATAGCGAAGTCCAAAACGGAAAGCGGCATGTATTGTATATATTGTATGATTCAACATTTTTAAAGGCAGATTGTTTTTAGTAAAATGTAGCTTTTGATAGTTAATAAATTTGTCATGGTTGTCTTTGATTAAAGGAAACTCACCACCATATTCACAAATAATTGTAGTTGCTCTTTATTTTCTAATTATTGGAGAGTGTCTCCTTTGTCTAATCCTCTCCCAGTGAAAGTTTTACTTAGGTTATTAATGTCCTGTGGACCATTATGATTCTTTTTAGTTCTTTTTTGCCACAAAGCTAGCTAGTCAACAAATAGGTTGTATCATATGAAACTGTTGTTTTTATAGGTAAAATACAGTCAAATACAAGCAATTTCCTATGATTCAGCCTCTGATTTACACACAAGAAACTATTAAATCCTCTGGCAAGCCAGGCTGGACTACTTTCCCCAGCAACACCAGCCCTGGTTCCATCTTACCAGCATGCTACTCCATGCTTCTCATCTCGGCTGTGCTTTGAAGTCTAGTCAGTTTCTTCTCCCAGTGCCCACTTTGCTATTTCATGTTTTCTCACTGCTTCCCTCTGGCATCAGGGGTAGAGGCGTCTTTTCTGTGGAAGACTCGGCTCCAGCGCTTCCTGCCTCCTAGGGGAGTCTGCTGTCTCAGTCATCCCCTTGACCTGTATCTGGAGTCTTCCCTTCACCTAAGCTCATCTCTCATTTAAAAAACATTACCATGACCCTCTTCAAGCTGCTATCCTATCACCTTTTTAATGAGAGTCACTTGTCTCCCCTCACGTCAGTCCGTAGCAGTGTGGCACCTCCTTCCCCGCTAATCAAGTCTGTTTTATGCTAGATTTCCTAATTCCTTTCCAAATTGTTAACTCCGGTGGACACATGTGTGTGCATTTGACACTTGGAGATCTATGCCTTGAAACTGTGTATCCTTGATGTCTGTTGCTTTCCCTGGTTCCCCTTTCATAGTCACTGTCATCATTTATGCTGACATTTACACCATGAATAGTCTGAAAACTTTGATGCCTAAACTTCTTGAAAATGTTACAGATACATGCAATCAATTGCTCACTGGACAGCATGTGGGTTATTTTAGATATGTACAAAACAGCCCTTCAAATCTTCTCCCTATGAGACCTATACTGGCGCTTTTACAACTATTTTCTCAGATGAAAGCTAAGATTGCCCCCACCCTCCAAGCCCTTACCTTAACCAGTCACTAATCCCCATCTGGTCTCTTCTCTCAGTTTGCCCAGGTTACTACCACAAACTCCAATCTGTTATCGCCTACTTCCTGTCCTTCAGGTCTCTTCTGCTTCTTCAGAACCGCTTGTCATATATTACTCGGATTTCCCACTGCCTTGAAGATTGAAAAAAATCTGAACTCTTTAGTGATATTCAAAACCTTGCATGCTCAGGTTCTTTGCCTACATTGCCAGGCGTGCTTCGTCAGGACTCAACTCTAGCATTTATTTTTTTGTTAAACAACTTTATTGAAATATAATTTGCACTGGGCGCGGTGGCTCACGCCTGTAATCTCAGCACCTTGGGAGGCCGAGGCAGGCGGATCACCTGAAGTTGGGAGTTCAAGACCAGTCCGTCTCTAAAAATACAAAATTAGCTGGGCGTGGTGGTGCATGCCTGTAATCCCAGTGACTTGGGAGGCTGAGGCAGGAGAATCGCTTGAACTGGGGAGGCGGGGGTTGTGGTGAACTGAGATTGTGCCATTGCGTTCCAGCCTGGGCAACAAGAGCGAAACTCTGTCTTAAAAAAAAAAAAAAGAAAAATTCATATGCCTACAATTTCTATGTAAACTGTATAAATCATTTTTATCTATTCATAGGGCTTAGCAACCATTACCACAATCTAATTTTTGAACATTTTTGTTCCCCTGACCCTGAACCCACTCTACCTCACCTCCTATCCTGACCTCTTACCCCTAAGCAGCCACTAACATACTCTCTGTAAATCTGCCTGTTCTAGACATTGCACATAAATGGAATGATTTCCAAGTTCTTGTCTAAAGTTGCCCCCTTCATCTTTCATTTTTCTGGTTTCTACTTGTTTCAAACTTTCCTAATTTGAGAAACTTAAAAGTGGTTACATTTTGTAAACTAAGGCTATGTTGCTTTTCATTTTGTACCTTTCTGTAACTATTGAATTTTCTTTCTTTTTTTTTTTTTTTTTTGGAGACAGAGACTCACTCTGTCGCCCAGGCTGGAGTGCAGTGGCCCAGTCTCGGCTCCTTGCAAGCTCTGTCTCCCGTGTTCACGCCATTCTCCTGCCTCAGCCTCCCAAGCGGCTGGGACTACAGGCACCCGCCACCACACCTGGCTAATTTTTTTGTATTGTTAGTAGAGACAGTGTTAGCCAGGATGGTCTTGATCTCCTGACCTTGTGATCCACCCGCCTCGGCCTCCCAAAGTGCTGGGATTACAGGTGTGAGCCACTGCACCCGGCCAACTATTGAATTTTCTAAACTGTACTTTTTACTTTTTAAAGTTATCAACAGTGGCCAGCGCAATGGCTCACACCTGTAATCCAGCACTTTGGGAGGTTGAGGTGGGTGGATCACTTGAGGTCAGGGGTTCAAGACCAGCCTGGCCCACATGGTGAAATCCTTCTCTATTAAAAAATACAAAATTAGCCGGGCATGGTGGCGGGCACCTGTAATCCCAGCTACTTAGGAGGCTGAGGCAGAATTGCTTGAACCCAGGAGGTGGAGGTTGCACTGAGCCGAGATTGGGCCACTGCACACCAGCCTGGGCAACATAGACTCCATTTCAAAAAAATAAAATAATCAACAGTGGTTATTATGAGCTACTTTTTCTTTAAATTTCTGAACTGAAAAAAAAAAGTTATATTTTGTTTTTTGAGATAGAGTTTCACTCTTGTCTCCTAGGCTGGAGTGCAATGGCGTGATCTTGGCTTACTGCAACCTCTGCCTCCCGGGTTCAAGGGGTTTTCCTGCCTTAGCCTCCTAAGTAGCTGGGATTACAGGCGCCTGCCACCATTCCTGGCTAATTTTTGTATTTTTAGTAGAGACAAGGTTTCACCATATTGGCCAGGCTGGTCTCAAACTCCTGACCTCAGGTGATCCACCTGCTTCGGCCTCCCAAAGTGCGGGGATTATAGGTGTGAGCCAACACACCCGGCCATGTTATCTTTTAAAAATAAAACTCAGCCGGGCGCGGTGGCTCAAGCCTGTAATCCCAGCACTTTGGGAGGCCGAGACGGGCGGATCACGAGGTCAGAAGATCAAGACCATCTGGCTAACACGGTGAAACCCCGTCTCTACTAAAAAATACAAAAAACTAGCCGGGCGTGGTGGCGGGGGCCTGTAGTCCCAGCTACTCGGGAGGCTGAGGCAGGAGAAGGGCGTAAACCCGGGAGGCGGAGCTTGCAGTGAGCTGAGATCGGGCCACTGCACTCCAGCCTGGGCAACACAGCGAGACTCCGTCTCAAAAAAAAAAAAAAATAAATAAATAAATAAAAAATAAAACTCGGCCAGGCGCAGTTTCTTTACGCCTGTGATCTCAGCACTTGGAGGGCTGAGGGGGCGTCGAGCAGGAGACGAAGTCAGGAGATATGAGAGACCACCTGGCTAACATGGTGAAACCCGTCCCTACTAAAAATACAAAATTAGCCTGGCGTGGTGGCGGGTGCCTGTAGTCCCAGCTACTCAGGAGGTTGAGGCAGGAGAATGGCGTGAACCCGGGAGGCGGACCTTGCAGTGAGCTGAGATTGGGCCACTGCACTCCAGCCTGGGTGACAGCCAGAATCCGTCTCAAAAAAAATAAATAAAACTCATCACCTTCCCAAAGCCTTTCTTTTCCTCCAGGGTTTTGTTAATAGCACCATGTTCTTACATCAGTTGTCCTGTCTGTGCTCATCTCATGTATTCACACATCTTTTCCATGGATGTCCCCAAGGGCTGGGGAGGAGCCTTATTTCTGTGCTGACAGTGGTAGAAATCAGGATGGAACTATGGCCATGCCTTCCTCCTGTCTATGCTGCCTAAGCAGTTACCATCCAAGGTCCATTCTCAGTTCCCCATAAATTGCTGCCCTACTCTAGTCCATATTTTCAATGAAACACTTTATACTGCATAACCAGACGTGCTATTTTTTTTCTTCAGTGTTTTCTTCCCCACATGAGTTGATGAGTTGTAAACCCCTTGAAGTACAGAGGGGCTACATGCTAGAGTCATTGCTCCCTGAAAGAGTTAGGGCTTAGGCTTAGGAATATGGCATTTTGTTAAATTTTAGGTGGATTGGAGAGCATAAGACACTGTTTCTGCATAATTCTAACAGGCTTGTACACCCTCTGCTATATTTACTCCTACAGAGAGGGAGCCATGCCTGTTTGGTCAAGATCAACTCAGAGGCTGTGAAATTGTAGGTTTCTGGATTTCTAGAAAAGTGTTGGGATTAGTAGTGTTAAAAGAATGATGACAAGCACAGCGAAGGATGAAGGTGTGTAAGATAAGACTTTTCAGAGTCGGCGGCGGAGATTTAAAAGTGGCTACCTTTTTTTTTTCTTTCTTTTTTTTTTTTTGTTAGACAGAGCCTTGCTCTGTCCCCCAGGGTGAAGTGCAGTGGCCAGATCTCAGCTCACTGTAACCTCTGCCTCCTGTGTTCAACCGATTGTCCTGCCTTGGATTCCCGAGTAGCTGGGATTACAGGCGCAAGCCACCACACCCGTCTAATTTTTTTGTATTTTTAGTAGAGATGGGGTTTTACCTTGTTGGCCAGGCTGGTCTTGAACTCCTGACCTTAAGTGATAACGCTTGCCTCAGCCTCTCAAAGTGCTGGGATTATAGGTGCGCCCAGCCCAAAGTTTTTTGATAGGAGTCTGTTTTCCCTCTCCTTGGATTTAAGCTGGTCTTGGTGACTTATGTGACCAGTAGAATACAGAAGCGATGTTCTGGGACTTGGGAGGCTAAGTCATAAGAAGCCTTCTAGCTTCCAACAGGCCTCTTGGAATACACAGTCGTAGAGTCGTGAGTCACTGAATAATAAGTCCAACTACTGCGTGGCACTGAGACTACATGGAGAGCTGCAAATGAGAGAAGGGCCAGGGAGGCCCAGCTTTCTAGCCTTCCCTGATAAGGGCATGTAGAGAAGCCATCTTGGACCCTCCAGATGAGC